AAAAAAAAAACAAAACCCTGGGCTCTGAAAGGTCAAGTGATGTGCCCAGGGTGACATAGCTCGTAAACGGCAGAGCTGGAATGCAGATCCTTGCCTACTGACAGACCTCTTACCTTCCAGACCATATTGCTTCCCTGATAGGAACTTCTTGGTACTCTTCTCAATTAAAAAAGAAGAATCTAAACACGGTAAAGTACGTACTTTCAGCTCAACTCCATTTGATGATTGAGACTTGATACTTCTACAAATCCTGAAATCTAAATCCTCGGGGTCTGGGGATCTGGGGGACAAAGAATTACAAGCACAGCAGACTGTTCTCTAGTCCAGATGCAGGAGAATAATTTGTGAGGAAATAAAGGTGGAATAAAGGGCTGGAGTGTTGAACTAGAGGTTAAAATTCCATTCGTCTGGAAGAGACCCTTAGGCAAAATGTTATGGAAGCGCATAGTGTCACCAGCCATTTGTGGGGTGTCTTCTTTAACGCAGAGGTTCCTCTCACCCAGGCAGGTGTGTCCTCCAGACGCCGCAGGGGCATGCCACCTCTGGCTCTTCTTATGTAGCCATATGTTAATTAGACCGTTCTATAACTCCATTTTATTTCCTCTAGACATAAAATGCCCTTTCCCCCTAGGAATACGCTGATGTGGGATAAAATAAAAGTGCTGAAAATAGAGAAAGCATCAGTATTACCAAGAGCAGATGCCTGCCTCTTGGAACCAATTTGGATTTTGCTTCATTTGGCACACCTGGTGAAGAGGCATCCAAAATCAACTTCTTTAAACTAGTTTTAGTTAAAAAGATGACTGTCGTTTTCTTTTCAAGTTCCCATCTGTACCTACGCACTGCAGTGTTGTCACCAAGTCATCACTTTCTGAGGGTTTCTCTTTAGTGCCTGCCCACTGAATCCTGGACTAATACATATCATCACTGTGCCCAGCCAGACTACTTTCCCCTTCCAGGGATGTAGTCTCAGCAGATGGCAAAGCCACATGAGCAGGGCGTGGAGGTGCATGCCTGCCCCTTGGAGGTGGTCCTGGGGGCTGAGGAAGAGGTCAGGTCACTCAGCCAGGTCCACAGCCCTGACCCCATTTGGGAGTCTAACTGGGGTTTTAGGAGGCTGGGATTGGAGGAGGCCTAGGAGTGTTGGAACAGGATGTTCCTCCTCTAATGAATTCATCTTTTTTCATAGTCATCGTAGTAACTCAGACTGCAAGGGGGCTGTGTTACTTATGGCCCTGGATTCCAGTGTTGTCTAAAGTTGTACAAATGGAGTAGTCCAGGCTGAGCCAAAAATTACAGCCTGTGTGAGGAAGCTTTCGAGAGTTTGTAATGACTTCATCAGAACCATTTTATAAATATGGAGTTTTGTTTTGTTTTTATTTTTTATTTTTTTGTAAATGGGGGACTTTCTCTCGAAAAGATTTTACCTAGCCATAACCAGCTGGCCCGTCTCAGTGGAGAATGGCAGACAGCTGAGCAAAGAGCTGCCAGAGTGTTCCCCAGGGCCACAGAGGATTTTGCAGATAGAGCAGGCGTGCCTTGGAGGTGTCGGAACACTGGATAATGCCTGCTCCATTTAATAAACTTGCAGATAGGCCTTGTCAGTGGTGAAGAACATGCCCCAGACCTGTTACACACACAGGAATTTTCTCTTTATGAAGCTCTTTCCATTATTCACCTTGACAAGACACAGCCATCTTTCACAGCATTAGTACCCAGGCTCTTTGAGGAAAAAGTATATATGCTGTACTTCAATGACATTCCTAAAAACACAGATCATCATCTTTATGCAGAAATTCTGTATTATCTCAAAAAAAATAGTGAACAAAGAAAAATGCAGTAAAAAGCTCAGTTGGTAATCCTTCTGAGGAAGCGGAACTTCCTACTCATTAAATGTTTGGTTCAAGCTATTATAAAGCCAAATCCTGGCTTTAGATGCTCAAACATGATTATCCCAGAAAACATGTCCAGCCTCACTGAAGGCTGGATCAGTCCCTTCAGTCCCAGGGGGCTGATTTGGCCATTTTTACAGGAAAAGTCCAGCATGAATCAGACCCAACAGTATTCTTTCATCCTCTGTCTTTATGCCTAACAATGAACAAGCTGCTTAAATCTTCTGACTTCTGTTCTCCCTCCATCCTAACCAGAAAAGGTCCAAAATATCACCTTCCTCCCATTTTCACTTTGAAGTCTGTGAATGAAAGGGACAGTAGTCTGTTCAGCACTGCAGTGATTTAGGTCATGGTTTTACCACCAAAAGAATTTGGAGTAATCTTTTCTTCTGGTGATAAAGCCAGTTTTGTGGATGTCCTTTTTGAACAGGCAGGATAGGTTGGGGCTGAAATCATTCTTTCATAGAAATTTTGATCTCTTATCTTATCCCAAGAGAAGCATGTAATTTTGAGGCTTTCTTTTTGTATTTTATAAAAACCATATTAGAATGCTTAAAAGAACTAAAAATGTCTTAGAATTGATGAAGCAGAAATAGTTGATGAGAGCGCTCAAATAAAATTATAGAAAGAGATTGAATATTTATTCACATGACAGATTAAGGATGATTTATTCGCTTCAGTGCTAAAGAGCAAATTCCTAACCTACTTTAGGAAAACTTGAACGAGTAGGGAAATTGAAAAAAATAGACAGGAGTAAGGGAAGGCACTAATAACATTTTGGGATAGAACCGATCAAGAATTACTGAGAAAGAAATAGAA